CCTTCGACCGGAATTGCTTGTATCGATCATAGTAAGATTTGGTCCCTCAAGACGGTATTAACGCCTTAGAATAAATAAACGCGTAGGTAAATTCTAAGTATCGTAAAAATATCAAAGTAAATAAACGAAATAAGACATTTAGTAAAGTTAGGTATGCCTCGTAGAAACAGCAATACTCTGAGGGATTGTGAGGCTGAGACATTGTCTATATATATTCCTCTCAGTAATGTTTCCGCCGAAGGGATTTTATTTAGTGTTTCGTTGTCGCTCTGTTAAAAACTATGGTATATTGGCTTACCCTCATCCTCGCTTCTCGACCGGATTATGACGGATAACCTGGTCCTTCTCGGTATTTCGTACTCTGCACTAACCCATTCTGCGGCACTACACAGCGCAGACCCGATCCGTAGCATAGAGGTGGGTACTCTACTTAGTAGGTCAGCAAGCGAAAATATGGAACATTCGATAGTAACAGTGTTTTGTCAACACCGGCCCGAATTGACTCAGCACATATCTTCCATTGTCGACTCACTTGGCCCAAGCTTCAAACGGTAATTTACTGACCACTTCTTTCCATCAATCTTTCCTGAACCACTACAGCGACTATGAGAGCCATACCATATGTTCATACATTGTATCATACATACTGACCATTTTTGAAACAAATAATATTATCCCTTATAAAATGTGGTCAAAGCCAAATAACACTTAATAAAGAGTGTTAAGTCGAAAATATGTGAACTCTGTCAGAAGTGCCAGTGAGAATGGCGCGCCTGCTATATTTATTAATCTGGATCTTATGTGGAACGAGAATTTCTCTACCATTTGGTTATATGGAAACACCTGTCTCTATGGTTTTGTATGAGTAATTCTCTATTACATTTATTGGCCGGTGTTCTGGTCCGGTCTTAAAATTTCTCTTTCAGGTCCGATCCTCAAGTCCGGTCCTAAATATTCGCCTAGGGTACTTTGTCCACAAGTGTACAAGTTGGAAACTCGATGGGCGGTGTTTGGAAAAGATGCCAATACCACAGTGTGAAGGGTGCAAGATATTATGCCGTGTAGTGTGATGTAGAATATGATGTTATGCCAGGTTCCAACCACACACGTAACATCAACCTGACTTAAAAATCGAAATAACGTACAAACACTTATCTGTATGTGCTGTGTTGTCCATGTTGAGTCCTTGTGGGTTGAAGGGCGTCATACTCATTGGTCCTAACGTTGTTCATCCTCGGACAATACTACCGGGCTTTCTTCTTCAACGATGTCAGCCATTTCTATATCGTTGCCTGTCGTCGAAGAGTCAGGTTGAGGCTGCGTATTGGTAACCATCGTCTCGGATTATTGGTAACCGTCGTCTCGGATGGTTGTGTTGGGAAGACCGTCGTTATATGAAGTCGTCCGGGTTTCGCCCGCGCTGGTTCTTTAGCGTTTACCGGGATTCACGGGTTAGGTGAAAAGAGGTTTTCATCATGTTTTACTTGGTAAGCCTCTGGAGACGGTCCGCGGTAGATCAGAGGATGTCTGCGTTAGTTTACATAGCCTTCTTTTCTTCTCTTGTGTATAATTTAGAACGCTATGAAACGATAATTTTTTATGATTATGTACCGAAAACTGATACTTGACTGTTGAATCGGTAAGGATTTTTTTGCGGTGTATACGCTTAATAGTTCGGTACTTGGGCCAAAGTCGCCTTATGTGGGCCCCTTAAATATCAACCCTACCTTTGCGAATGGACCGGATGCGGTTTTGGACACGGGCTCGGGCTCGGGCGTTAATACTTTTATAGTGACGGGTGTCGTATAGACAGTCCCCGCGTGCTCTGCAGAATATTCGTTCTAAAAACCAGCAGTTAGTGTTGTCAAGCCCAACGAATCCTGAATCCAAGAACAATTCGTTCAATTCGCAAGGATAGATGTATCGAACTATCGATAGACGATAAGAAAGAATTTGTAGTCTAAAAACTTAATTGTTCAGCTGATTTTTATAAATAAATAAAAAGAGTGCAAAAAATATATATCTATAAATACTATTTTGTTTTTGAAAAGAAAGTACGTCGATGGATGATACTTGACGTGTTGACGTGGAGTAAATAATTTTTATATCCCTGTGCTTTTGCATTGCAGTTTTTATTAGTAGTCATTATCCACTAGTTACTCTACATATATAGTGACTCTCTCTAGAGAGAGTCCGATCACTCGATCAGGCTATAATTAGTTTTTTTCTCTCCAGTCTCGAGCTACCTCGAGCTCTTACATAGTCTCGAACTTTCGACTCTCAACTCTCAACTCGAGAGTCGGTCGCGAGACTCGAGTCGTCACGACTCGACTCAGGTCACTCTTAGAGTCTCAGACTTCAGACTCTCAGAGTCAGGGGCTCAGGGCAGTCAGGCAGGGGAGAGTCAGAACTCAGGTTTATGAATATTTTCATTGTTTCAGGTTGTTCAAAACCTGAGCTCTTAAAAATAGAGGCGGGAAACCCACACTCCAGAGGGTGTTTCTTTTTGAGAAAAGTACATTATGTACATGAATTGTTTATTTTATTTTTAATGTCTAAATAATTTTCTTTTTTTAACCAGTACATGAATATAGAAAGGCCCAATACAGAAAACACGATGTGATACCAGGAGTACCGGAGAGGGACACCATACATCGATAATTACGAAATGAGTAAAATATTTTAAAAAGTACCCCCTGAAATTGCTCCTAAATAAGTTAAATGTGAAACACAGATGTGCGATTATGTACCTCAATCCCAAATTGTGATCCACGTTCCGATTTCTAAATAGTTCCAAATCGTATTCCTCCCATCAATCATCATGATGGTGCTGCAATATAATTTTTGTCTGCTTTCCAAATTCCAACACCTCCTTGTGTACCCTTCCACGATTCAAATAGGAACTTACTTTCAAATCTCCTAATTCTGCCACTTCCTGCCTTCCAAGTTACTACTACATACACCTTTTTTTAAAAGGCCCCATTCTGTATTTTAGAAGGTATAACTCTATTTATGGCCTATTCTACTTTTTTTTATAGTTTTACAAGAACAAAACATCGGACGATGAATTGTTCAAGCACAACAACACGCTGGACACCACATCCAATTGCAATACGGCAAAAGATAGCTAAATAAGATATATTAAAGTCGATCCCGCGTTGTATCGATGTGTAATTTTTCTTCGTTCAGTAGCTACATGTGGTTCCGTAGAAGCCCTAACGGTGGTGATGGATGTTCAGTTCTAATTAATCGATTGTGATTGAATTATATTTCTGCCAAAACTGTAAATAAAACACTTGTCATAAAATATAATAAAATATCATTTCAATTCATAACCAATCGTAGTCAATTTATAGTTATCATAATCATTCGTAGCCACCCTGTACAGGCTGTACTACAGTAGTCATTCGTCACCATCACGTAGTCATTTTTATGAAGAAAAGAAATATATAATAGCCACTGCGTAGCCAAGTGACAGAAACTAGCTACAGCATCCGATGTAGTCGTCATACAATCTACTTTCTTTTTTAAAAAGGTACGGCTGTTCTCGTCGCGATTTCCTCTATTGATTGAACAGAATGTCTAATTCTGCCAATCGATAGCTATGTATGTATTGCCTTTCAAAAGCAATAAAGAATTGTAAGTGTTCATTGTGTTGTGGACTTGTGGCAGATTTTTTATAGATTAGGCCATTAGGGGTTTAAATTCATTTCTTTAAAAATAGCACCTTATAATTGCATGCTTTTAGTTTCCCACCGACACAAGCGCTGTTTTATTTGTTTTTTAAAAAACCAATATAAAAACATAGGTACACCGCTAAAATTTCTTCTGTTTATACGACACCGGTCACTATAAAACTATTAACGATCGAGCCCGTGTCCAAAACCGCGTCCGATTCATTCGCAAAGTTAGGGTCGATATTTATGGGCCCATGTAAGGCGACTTTGGCCTAAGTACCGAACTAGTACCGAGCTATTAAGCGAGTACACTCGGCAAAAAAATCTTTACCGATACGAGAGCCAAGTATCCAGTTTTCAGTACATAATCTGCACCAATCACCTGAAATAGAATACAACGCCTCAAACTAGCGAGAGCCAATGTTCTGTTAAACCTGTGGGCGTGAATTCGTGGATCCATACTTCTGAATATTATTAAAAAAATCGTTTCATAGCCTTCTAAATTATACAAGAAGAAAATAAGCTTATGTAAATACGATCGTTTGGTTTGCACAATTGCACCGTAGTTCAACGATGTTGAATTTGGGGTTGTCCCGTTCTGTTGTAAATTTTTTAATTTCAGGTCTAAGGGATTTAAACCGCTGTCTATTTTAGAAGGCCATGTAACCGCAATTTGTTTTTAGAACATAGATTCAAAAAAAAAAAATTCACCCGGTTCATTATTCATATCATAGCCTTCATAAAATTAGACATCATATACATAAGAAAAAGTTATACTAGGGCTCGGTCGTTAATAGTTTTATAGTGACGGGTGTCGTATAGACAAAGTCCGGAGGGCTACGATCCTACGGCCTACGTACGACGATTTTTTTAAATGTGTTTTTATATATTTTAAATTTTTATAAGTAAATATGATGCGACACATGTCACATCAGCGACATCGCGCATGTGTCGTTCACCCCAGGGCCCAGGCGAGTACTGCCCAGCACTCCAGACTCCAGAACTCCAGACTCCAGAGTCTCAGAGGACTCCTGGACTCTAGAGTTTATTGTTTTCTAAAATAAAGTGTTCATACCTGCATACAGTCAGTCCTACACCGAGCTAATATGCTAAAATTGCTATTATGGATATCAACTATGAGGCGGGAGATTCTCCATGAATGCTCCGAAAATTCTGCCAATAGGAGTGGCGGTACAGAAGTGGTTTTATTCTCACCCTTTGGGTTAGTGGTTACGCAAGCTCCAGTCAGCAGTTCAGCACTCAGCAGTGTGTTCGTCACTGTCATGAGTCTTGAGTGTCAAAGTTTCAGACTTCCAGTTCAGACTTCAGACTGTCATCACCATCTGCACATTTTTAGTTTGGACTTTTGGTCATTGATGAGTACGAATATATATGTATGTATATGTATATGTATATGTTTTTTTAATAGCTAGACAGGGACGGGATAGGTCTAGAACCTTAGAAGTTAAGAACGCGAGTATTACAGTCCTGCACACATACTTACACATACTGACACAAGCACGCAGACACTTTACAGTTTTCACATCTACACATACGCGAATATGCACTATCCTGCTTCGGTGATCATAGCAGCAGCTGTTGCTGCGAATGCGCTTTCTATTCAAGATTTGATGGGAGCTCTTGTTCGCAGTGAAAGGCAAACAGACGATAACTACTGTGAATTTGGCATGAGTTATATCTGTGATTCTACTAAGAATGCGCTCGAGTGTGAATACGAGACATATCCTTTCGACGAGTGTAATGAGTATTGTGCTCGCGTGTCTGATTTACCTTTTTGTGTATATGATAGTGTTGAAGGTCCTATCACGGTCGTATCTGAACTGGAAAATGAAATGGCCGCAGTGAGTGAAAACGAAGCGGCACACGACGGTGATCTGCCAGAATCGTCTGATTACACGGAAACGGATTTAAATATTGATGCCAATGAGTTAGAAGAAAACGAACCACTATTGTCGGATGAGTTCTCAATGCCTGAAGAATCAGATATACTGGAGGCCATAGATATAAGCGATTTGGAAGATATTGATGTGGAGGAAGGTATGGAGAACGGGGGGAACGCTGACGAGTCTACTAAGGCAGCGGAAGATGTTGTTGAGGGTATACAGCAAAGCACTACGGATACCGAAGCCTCCACATCTACCGAACTAGATGTACCAGAACTGTCTGAGAATCTACCTATTCTACCAGCTCAGGAGAGCGAGACCATGAATGCGAGTGAAAGTATGGAGGTTGGCATGAGCGCTGAAACACCAGCGGAGAGTATAGATGAGAGTGGAAACAGCGATATGGAAATGAGTACGGGGATGACAGCGATGAGCGAGGCAGAGACTGATGATCTGTTCCTTGTAACCGTATATAATGCATTAGAGAGCTCGGCGTTGAGTACTTCCATGGAGATGTCTACGGAGGGAGAAACTGAGACCCATATACTTTCACCTATTGAAAAAGCTGTGGGAATTTCTGATGGTGGTGACAATCAAGAGACGTTCTCTGGCAATGTGGTCGATGAAGGAGTTGTCAACGAGGAAGTTTCCACACACAGATGTTTCGAAGGACCCTCTTTCGTAAGTTGATATAGTAGTGTTTTACGTCGAACTATGTCTCAATTTAGTGGTAATTTTCTATACTCCAGTAGTCTCCATTTCTCGTTTTGTTCGCCATGTCATTTTGCCTTTTATAGTTTGCCGTTCGGGAAAACGAGGCTGAGAAGTGAGAAGTCTGTCTGCGTTTGATTTGTGCATATTCGATGTGATTGTGATCGTGATCAATAATCACTCTTCTTTTTTTGAATACGCACGCACATCGTTCTGACATGTAATACTATGATCTTTCTCATTTATGTTATCGGAGTGATTAATGAAACAATCACTTAGCGATGATATACCCTATAGACTACGAGTGTTCTCGTGCGGATAGTATAGCTTTGTGTCAGCGAACTTTTGCATATTGCATTGAAAAGTCCGGGTAAAATTAAGGAATGTGTGTGTCTGCGGTGACCCTGTACGTACAGTGTTGGAAATCTTGGATTTAAGATTACTCCAGTATGTTTATATATATATAGATATAGATATGCATATACATATGCATATGCATATACATATACATATCTATATATATATATGTAAATATATATATATATATATATAACGAACCCGGTGCCGCATGAACGTATTTCACTTTCTGGGTTTGCTGATCATTATGTGCAGATTTTTAAACAGGTTATCCATACTGTTTCAGTTGCAGTTAATCGCTATTATCAGTTTCTACCGATTTATAGTGTTTAATGATGTTTTAGGACTTTTGTTCCAATGTATTATATATATATATATATATGCGTATGCACACATAGACATAAAAATACTGTTAATAACTTCTTTTTATTTGATTTATTCAACAGTATTGTGCCAGCTTCGCCAACGCCGAACTATGTGGTTACACCGTTGAAAACTGCAGCCTGTACTGCAACCCTGGTTGGTACCCCGAACTATCAAAAGGCGAAGTCTGTGTGTAGAGCTTTTCTGTGCTTCAGTCGATTGACAAGCCGATTTTTCGACAAAGTGCCATGCTGAAGTCTTTTCACAGGGTCGTTCAAGGCAAGACAGGGCTAGGCTATACATATTAGATGTGTACACTAATCGCAAGCACCCGCAAGTACGGGACCTGTGGCGATATGCATACATTGCTATAATGATGGCAAGTGGCCATTTTTATGTACCTGTGTGCAAATACACCTCCACATGAGCACACGACATAGAGCTCGTGTGCATAGTCCCTTGCAGCAATCATACATGGTGTGCTTTCGACACGCAGACACTCGCTGTAAAACATGTTTTGCAAGCATTTATCTTAATGTCTTGTGACTGGTATGGACTCAATTCATGCCGACCATAGCAGGAAACCCCAAAGTCATACCCCTAAACGTATATGTATTGGTATGTCAATGAAATACATACAATAAACCAGTAAGGGTCGGGAAAGGATGTACTCCTGCGCGCACTTAATATATATATATAATATATACGTTCATGCATCAAATGAAGTTATGTGATATTCCCATGTGTGACAGTTTATACGTTATACAGCCTTCAGCTAACATGTCCTATCTCTCTTGAATAACATAGTGCAAGTATACATCTGAAACGAGGCAATTTCTTTTGAGCTGTTTTATGCACACTCCCAGATTTCGTTTGCCCGTTCCATTTGTATATATAGGTACATCCTCAGCGTGTGGAGGTACAAGATACCTATACTTGCGTTATCGCTAGGGGATTGATGACATATATGCGTCAGGCATGATCTGCGCATACATCTTATGAAATATCTACTCATTGCGGTATACATCACCCTCAAGACACAGTACAGGGCATTTAACCACATGGCCTCAAGTAACACCGACGACATGATATACGTTCCCAACTTTATTGAATACGTACTTTCAGGTGTATACTCTGACCGTCACTGCTGCAGAGCACGGACAGCAGTATGGCGTCACTTGGGCTTGCTGTGCTCACGGTCAGGGTGGTCTGTGCATAAAAAGAGTGTTGAGGTGAACCAATCTGCAATTTTTATAACCTAGAGTTGTGTTTTTCAAGCGTAGAAATTATAACGGATACACATAAACTTGCTAGATTGTAATAGTATTTTGTCACTGGTGAACAAGTAGCTAAGTGGGAGATGAACAAAACTGTCTGTCCATAGGATATACGATGAGCTTTGTTCTCGCACCTGCAGCTCATGAGATCATCTGATATTAGTATTTGGTACAGCTGAGTCGTGCGCCAAGCGGGCCATGGCTGCCATATATTACTCAACACGTCTACCTGGGAATCTTTTAACCTGAATAGATCTGAGCCGATATGGGAAGATTTGAACTAACAGAGTAGAAGTATTTGTCTACAAGATGTGTGTTTAGCGACATATTTTTTCTATATTCTATACCATCGAGCTTTGAAACAAGGCGCATCGACATATGTCAAGAGGTCAGTATAGGTGCAAAATAACAGTTGCTATCTTCTACATTTTCAGGGCTTCAAGACGTCAGATAAAGCGCATTGTTTATAACTTGAACATCAATCACTCCACCAATCCACCAATGAGCCAGACCTCGATGTGACCTAATCGATAAATCCAAATGAGTGATTGACATTCTATCGAGGGAAAGGTCGAATTCTTCAGTGTCAATGTAATGTTCCCTGCACATAAATAGCAAAAAATTAAAATAATTCACATTGATCCAATAAATGGCCATACTTTGTGTCCAGGCTCACTCGCAGCGCCCGTCTTTTGACTCAGGAGGTGTGCCACATCATCTCTTGGCGTCAGTGTAAAGGGAGTGCTCGGTAGACCACTCACGGTTCTATCTGAGCTGCCCACAACCGTGCCAGAGATACTGATCTCCACGTTTTTCAGCAGCGGATTGCATATCTCGAGCACGCGAGCCCTCCCGCCCATTTCTTGTTGTGTCTGATTGGCAAGCTCCTGTAAGCCTGTGCCTTGTGTCCGTGGTTGTGTTTCGGTGTGGGATGTGTCTCCCGCTTTATGTGTAGTTGCTTGTGTGTGCAATTCGCGCACAAGTGGGACCTGTGCGTAACCAGTTAGGGCCAGTTGGAACGTACATTGTGCTGGCTGGCGTTCGGGGCGGATCAGCATCATATCACACTTCCTGCACCGTGTATCGGGAAGGGAATACAAGCCAGCGTAAGACACGCGGACGAGAATTGACTATCGGAAGTCCGGGAAAGGGATGAGCTAAAATACATCAGGGTCGTTCACGCAATTAGATTGGATAGTCCAAAATATATCACAGACCAACGAATTTCGGCGGGACTCATAAAACACAAGGAGTCACTGAGGTATACAAATCAAGATCGTACTAGACATCAAACTTGACATATAACCCCGTGTATATATGCATTTAAATCCCCCGTATTGGCTCATGCGCGTATGTTTCCGTATATCTGGATATATCTGCGTGCCTTGTAGCCTAGAATCCTATCATTACAATTATGCTTATGTGCATGTACATAAATAGAACTGATCAAGCATGCACGAATACACATCCTTATACACATAAAATAATACATATATAATTTGCACCTACCTACACCGTCTGTTCATCTTGGCACATAGCGGCGTCCGCGCCGGCAAGATAACGTCACTTCCATACGCGCAAAATGTAACCATTTTTTTCTCAGGATCTCTGACTTGCCTTCCCGCCTGTTCCACCGCAAACGCTTCCCGAAGTTCGGAAACAAAGTCCAGCGGAGTGTCTATGCTAGTAGTCGATTCCATATCTATATCCTCATGGTGTGAGTTTGATACATCTGGCGCGGATTTTTGCGACATTGGGAGCGATTCGCGCTGCAAATAGGCGTTCTGGAGCGCGGCGGCGAATTCTTCCTCTTCTTTGGGCGTGAGTTCATAGTCTTTCTGTCTGTGCTTCATCGTGCATATAGGCTTAGCTAGTAGCTGCAATAGTAAAAGGGGGAAATCGTCAATCGATGCGATGTATATGAATGGCTGAGCAGATATGCTAAAAGGGTACAAAAATAAAATAAGGCAAAATCGGACATATTGGCGTTGCCAGTAAGCAGCTATTTAGTACGAGTAATACGCATCACTCAATGTAATGTACATTTATGACGCAGTAGATGTACTTCCAAAATAAATTAAGGTTGGGTCAAACATAGCTACGGGAGTATCGCATCTAAACACAGCAATATTTCAAGTGCACACTAAAATATCATCCGATGTTAGGTCAGCACTCAATTTTCAGGTACATTCTGTTTTCGACACAACCGTACTTCTACTTGCATGCAAATACTAAATTTTGTTTGCACAAAACACACAAAAGTATACCTACGTCATTCAAGTGGAAAAACACTTTGAACCAAACGACCGTCCCATTCACATTGTCTCCGTGTCAATTGGCGCATTCATGAACTTCGTGACAAGTATTTGATATGTTACTCTTAAATATGTATATGTACGTAAAATTTGCATACATAAATGTATAAATGTATAAATAGAAATAAGAATAGGTATAAAATAGATATTGAAATAGAAATAGAAAAAATAGAAATATATACATAAATAAATACATATATATATACATATATATCCATAAATTAATAGTGGAATATTGCACACCTTTTTCGAGTCTTCTGACATAATCGCCACTACATCCTCGGGAACATTCCGCCCTGGTGGGATATCCGATGTAAAGCTCTCCAGCACTTGCTTTATACTCGGGGGTAAGCTCGTGAGATCAGATTGCCGTTTAAAGTTGGTCCTCGCTTTGGACTTGAAGCGGATATTTTCCCTATTACAGTCACGTGAATATAGGCAGAAGTCAGAGCGAGTTATGTACAGTATCACACACACCGCGTTGTAATATATTGTAGTACGATGACGGGAAGTAATACTAGCCACTATTGCACTCACTTATATATATAGTCACACCACTACACTAATCCTGCACCAATCAGTTCTAAACTAATTGAACGTTAGTAATTTTCTTATCCTTGTATACACCCCTCAAGCAAAGAAAGGTAATTTATGCATTCCTAAACGAGGATATCTCATATTTATCACAGTAGTAATAAACTTATCGCCCCCAGTAATGAAGAGATCCCCGCTTAGTGTAAAGGGATGTATACAAGGATAGGAATATCACTACACAAAATATTAATATTTTGTTCCACTATGGAATGAAAAATGTTAATAACAAAATATATGATGTTGCTATAGTAGCACACACCGTGAGCCCAGTTGGACCCCGTTCAACAACCCCTTATTACTTCTATCAGACCATTAACTAATAAAGGCATTCTGTACTACACCATATAAAAAAAATGAAATCATTAGAGTTTTATGAACAAAGCTCCATCGTTTTCAATAAATGCACTAAAAACAACATAGCAGGTAATAAGCTGAATACACTTTCACTTTTTAGGTCAATGGATATATTATTTAGGGTTTTCACTTACGCAATGGTAAATGATGTATTATATGATGCAAATGTCTTCTCTATTACAGTCAAATGGTATTCGCAACGCGTTGAACGGAATTGGATACAGTGTCTTACCCATTCTTGCGCGATAAGGTGTAGTAAGAAGTGATATTGTTTCCCCTAGGACACTCACGTGGGCACGGGTAAAGGGGCTGAACACAACATCTACGTCGCCAGATTCATTGGTAGTGGCAAGATATGATGTCGTGACATGAAGCAGCGCAACGTGTGTGGTGTAAATGTCCGTCTGTAAATAGGCAGTGTAAATTTACGCCTGTAAAATGGCACATAAGTACATAAATACACACATACAGCATCCATGTATATTTTTCCAACACATCAATAAACACACATTTGCATGTACAGTAAATCAACGAACACACAGTTAGTATAATCTTCCGAACTAAATAAATACACTAACTTCTCACTCCTGTCCGCCAACTGCCTATAGTGTGCGCTCAGCACATTGAACCCATGACTCAATCCCTCCATAGCTTTTTCCCGTTCCATCAACAAACTTCTCAGCGCTTCCACACTCTCTGCCTCTAGCCCTACTTCGAGCGATGACCACTGACAGGCACTACAGTTGTGGAAATATCGCTTTTGTGTCCCGGTATTCGGTACCGGTTCTTTCGAGACATCTTGGGTGTGGGGTTGTGTGGCCGTGGGTGTTGGGTTAGACATGTCCAGAGATTTAATCGTCAGCTCGCTCGTGCAGATAGGACATTGCGCACATTTTTTGCACCTGTATTCATATTTCGTTACAAAGATGCAGAAGAAGGTCAGATTGATATTGAAGCGATGCAAAGGGTAGTCAGACAGCGCCAGAATAGTGACTAACAGCCCGTTGATACCTTTAAGACTACGGAACTCGATATAGCACCCAATTTGACACATGTGAACGAGATTTTTTTTCGGCAAGTAATTCTGGGCCGTCGTTTCTCACAAGTAAAAGGAATATTTCAATAGCAACGACTGATAACTGTGGATACTATCCAAAATTGGATTTTATAGCATTTTTATCCAGAATATATATATATATGTACACACACATACATACATCTATACATACATAC